CGGAGAGCAAGTTCGACAGATCAATCGAAGGAGGCACTCCATCGCTAGCCAAGAAGAACGTAGTTTTAAACAAAGGGAGAATCAAATTCATTCTCCTCTCTTTTTAATCGGAATCCAAATTGTGATTTTGAGAGGAATACAAGTCAAAATTTTCTTTCATTGTCTTTTTACTACAAAATTTCCAACAAACAGTATCATTGACTTGTACGCTTCCCCGATTCATTTTGTGAACGCATGGATATCTTGACGGTTGCCGACGGGCATGCAAACCACTTAGTTCGCCAATTTGATGGCCTGTGAGCATGCGGGACACTTGGAGGTGGCTGACGAGTGCACGAGCCCTTTGGAGGTGGCCGATGAGTACACGGGACAGTCGGTTCGCCGATTTTGGTGGCCGATGAGCACGTGGGACACTTGGAGGTGGCTGACGAGTCGGGACAGTCGGTTCGCCGATTTTGGTGGCCGATGAGCACGTGGGACACTTGGAGGTGGCTGACGAGTGCACGGGCCCTTTGGAGGTGGCCGATGAGTACACGGGCCAATCGGTTCGCCGATTTGGTGGTCGATGAGCGTACGGGCCACTTGGTGGTGGCCGGTGAGCACGCGGGTCACTTGGTTCGTCGATTTGGTGGTTGATGAGCGTGCAGGCCACTTGGTGGTGGCCGGTGAGCATGCGGACCACTTGTAGCTGGCTGACGAGTGCACGTGCCAGTTGGAGGTGGCTGATGAGCGCACAGACCATTCGGTTTGCCGTTTCGCTTCATGTGTTCGTCGGCGTCGGATAATCCCCTTAGACTTAGATAATGACGTTCATTACCTTACCTTCTCTCTGTCTCGATCTGTGTGTGGATACCTATGGGTATTTTTAGACGCCTAAAACAAAGGGGAATGTTATCATTTGATAACACCACAATCTATTTCCTACGTTATTTTCGACTTTCTAAACAAAACTCAACCTCAATTTTAATTCATGCATTACTGCATCCACACCTTATCCACTTGAGGCTCTTTGCTACAAATGCGCAGGAAGTAGGAACAAAAGCCCCATCAACATGGGTTCTATAATAGAGAAAGACTCGTACATAATCTCAAAGCTTCTACAATAGAGTCATATGCCTTTCTCGTGTCCACCTTCTTGACACGTGTAGGTGATAAACTCTTTCTACCATACTTTTTCAATAATTTCTGAGCCAACATAACATTGTGCATGGTACTAAGGCACTGTTTGGCAACCAAAAAAAGTGTCTTATCTAAGAGCTTGTGTCTTATTGACTTGGTCAATAAGCTAGTAGAGCTGTTTGGTGACAAAAAATATGAGGAGATTATTTTGGAGATTGTGTCTTTTGCAAGTAGCTTTTGAAAAGCTATCTCAAGTAGCGTTTGTCTTTGGGAAGGAGCTGCCAATTTTTTTCTTCCGTTTTTGCCCCTAATAATTCTAATTTTATATCAATAATATTGCATGTCTTTTTTAGTCATTTAACAAATTTAAGCTAGTTGTACAGCTACTTTTGCCAAACAGCTCTAGTCAATCAGCTAGCTACACAGCTAACAGCTTTCAGCTACAATTTCACAGCTTTCAGCTAGCTTAACAGCTTTTAGCTATAATCTCGTAGCTTTCAGCTAGTTTTGCCAAACAGAGCCTAAGCAATTTGTCAATCACCTTCTTGATTCTCATCGCTAAGATTTTTGAGGTACACTTATATAGCACATTAGCACAGGCTATCAGTCTAAAATCATCAGGAGTATTAGGACATTTGGTTTATTTGTTATTAAAAAAACATGAAAAAAGCAAGAAATTAAATTCATATTAGAGCATGACTTAAAAAGTAAAAAAAAAAAAAGAATTTAAAATGCAAGAATAAAAATATTAACTCCCACGTTGAGAAGCATAGGCTTTTCTTGCAAAAAAAAAAAAATCTTCAAGTTAGAAGAAGAATTTTAGAGACGATTTTTTTTCGTTTATTGTAAACTCTAAAGTTTCTATGAATTTGTAGGGCACTAAAGAGCAACCTCCTATCCCATAAAAGGATTACAAAAATTTCACACATCTCACTGTCAAGTCTCACCCCTATTTCTAACAAAAATCAGGTTTACATCAACCAAAATCAACCATTAGATCTTTCAAAATACCCTCAACCTTTAATTTGGAAAGAAATTTACAGTTGGTGACTTGGTATCGATAAGGGGAATCAATACTAATATTGACGCTCGTATCGATGCTGATATGGATACTGGTATGATACTAATATTGATGCTGGAAACTATGCTGATATCGATACCAATAATGATACTCGTACTGATACATGTATCAATACTGATATGGATACCAAAGATGCCTGCAATAGCAAATTCAACTGAAATCTTCTTTGTGCTCTAAGACTTTGTTGAGTAGGCTTTTGGGTTTCTCTTAAAGGCTCTTCTTGGCTCTTCCATAGCTTTAATTTCTTCATTTTCCTCAAAATCTATATTCCTACAAAATTTAAAAAAAAAACACAATAATAATTTATTTGCATGAAAGTTTAGATGAAATAGAGGTATAAGACTGCAATAAAATGATCAATCATTATTTTAAACATATATTGGTCCTATAATATAACTCATTTAAGCAGATCTAATGGTAAATTTAAAAAAATGAGGATTAAAGTGAAATATTCTCATCTTTGTATAACAATAGGTATTAAAGTGAAATTTTAAAAAAATTAAGGTATATATATAAGTGCAAAATAGGAGAACCTATAAGCTAATTAACTGTTGATTAGCCATATTCTTTTTTTTTTATAATTAACAAAAGGGCCTATAGGGCTTGCTATAGTCAAATTGGTAGCAACAAACATTTCAATTTTTTATCACAGTTTCGAGTCTGTTTGGTTCTCTGAAAAAATAAATCACAGCATACCGTTGCAGCAGGAAATGAATTATAAATCTATTATTTAGATTATTTAAAACATTATTATAGAAAATGCCTTTTCACTGAATTCAAGTGTCTGATTGAAATCTAATAAGTTGAGCAAAAGCTACATAGTTTTCTATACATTGAATTACAAAAACATGATTTGATGAAGTGGCATTTATTTTTTCTTGGGCCAGACCCGTGGGTCTCTCGTGGGCCATTCTCACCGGCCTTGGGACTGGCCAGGTTTCAAGAGCTTGAGAAGGCCGAAGCCTGGTCGACTTGAATATGTAAATATAAACTGTAAAATATGAACGTAAATAAAGTACTGCGCAATTAAACAAATAAATATAGACATTAGAGCCCACGGTAACTTTAGATTTACTAGTGCGATTCTTGTTGTTTTCTCGTTTCTCTCTTTACTTTTACTATTTTCCATGTTTTAAGTATGTTTTATTTCCCCATATTTTCGTTCAATAACCACGAATTCAAATCCACTCGGACTTATGTGACCCTTCGATATTTCCAAGACCAATACTTAAATTCACCATTTATCGTTCGCACCCAGATCTTCACCCGCATCCACCATTTAAGAAAATGACCAAAAGGTGCATAGTGCAACTTGGGGTTTTAGTTTCACAACTCCTATAAAGGCTTGCACACGAGGATAACTCCCGCCCTTTTTTTTAATTTCACTTACCGCTGAAGTTTTGAGGTGTTTCCAAAAATCATTGAATTTTAAACTTTACTCACTGATTTTTTTAATCTTTAATTTGCAGCTAATACATTTCCTTAAGAGAGAAATCCCTCAAATTGACTAAGGAGAATACTTTGCTTGTAAATAACAAATAAGTAGATTTGAGGTTTTTGCCCCTTCGAAGGAAATTCTAATTATTTACAAATTATAGATGTGGTCCAATGACAAAGGCTTAAAGTTCAGCTGGATTTCTTGAAACACGCAAAAGTTTAAGAGGTTATGTGAGATAAAAAGAGTTCAACAAGATTATGTGCAAATCCCCCAATTTTTTTTGTGAAATCAACACAAAAAAATGTTTACATCCGCAATATATCAATATCCTTAAACGTTATGTGTACTAAATATACATATTCAACATGACATAGAAACAAATATGAATATATAAGCGAAATATCTAGAATCATATCTGAATATTTGAATATATGATTTGATTGAAATATTTTAACCATTAGGTTATTAAATTCAAGGTTAATTTTAATAATCTAGAAATTCAATCTTATATTTTTCCGATATGCTGGATCTATTATGTTATACCACTTTTTATTTTTTCGATCTGATTTTTCTATTAATATCAATTTTGTATCTCTATATAATTTCACTTGTATCCATATTTAATTGTGAAAATAAACACCAGGCTTAGTCGTATTTGAATATGTAATGGGCAAGAAATATTGATACATGTCACATGACGCAAGTATCACATTTTTATTTATGCTTGTTTCACCTATAACAAAATAGTTCTCCAGTGCACGCAATGAGTGCATTACATAGTAAACTTATGCGTACCTTTTTAAACTCCTCCATGATCAATGCTGGTATGATATATTTTTTTAAAATTATTGCCACATGATATATAATATCTTATTATTAGAAAACATGGTGAGTTACCAAGTAGTGGATGATAGTTAGGATGATAGTAGTGCAATAAATCGTTGAGGAGATATGTCGAATTTTTTGAGATCTCGACCTACATAGGCGTAATAGATAAGAGGGCAGCTTCGTCATTTCATCTGACTCGCGGAAGTCACGTGCGCGGCACTGGCCCCCCGGTCGCTATTCGTTCGTTACTCTCGAGGCGGCCCCCACTCACGCGGAACTCTTCAAATACTCTCTCCCCCTCTCTCTCT